TATATATGTACGAATATATATAAACTTACCTAGATATCATTGCTGGATCCCCAAGAGTGATCTTGCTAGCTTTTACTAAGCATGACTTCCCGTGTAATAGCATGATGTCAAGCACTCTGTCATGTACTATACTTCGACTTTAGAATATTATTTATATACTTCTTGAGTCTGATAATTGTGATATGTGCACGGTGTAAATATGTGATTGTTGCAGAAATGCGCGAGTACACTACCGCTGACCTATAGGTGACCATTTATAGATTAGGTGTCATCAGGGTGTCATCAAAATCTTGCGCTTCTACGTACATATGTATGATGTATTTAATATAGGCACACATAAACAAATAATGAGTTGTATGTTTTTGTACATTCACAGCTCATAAATAGAACTCAGTAGCAGGTCTCATACATATCGTTAACATTAACATTTAATTACCATCTTCGTATCTAAAGTATGGGTGATCAAATGGAGGTGGACACGCCCACAAATGTGGTCCAGGCTGGGAAGTCGAGTGTGCAAGCTTTATTGCACCCTTTGGTTCTGATCGATGTGGCAGACCACGTCAATAGGTTCAGACTGCAAAGCACGCCTAAGGATACCTTCACGGCAGGTAGAACTAGGACACGTACATTGTGAAGTGACTGTGCGTGTCTCGAGATATTTCAAGAGTAGTTAGATGGAATTATGTTGCAGGTGAAATACTTCATACGATTTGTGTTTGTATTATTGTTCAGAAGCAACACCGGCCATATCCAGTTGCTTCGCTTTTTCTCATATTGATTTGTAGGTGTACACTTTATCTAGTGGGGAATGAATATAGCTACATCGTCACATGATGTTACTGATTCTATGTATATAGCAGTATAATCGAGATATTATCTATCTTCATTAATAGGACAAAATACCATCAACCCTTTAGAATATGGTATAACACTACTACTCTCGTGGGTGTGATGTATATATTATATATAAACAATAAACACACACACACACACACATACACACACACGCACACACGCGCACACACATACACACACACACATACATAC